TCTACCGAAACAAACGCCAAAACCACAATTGGATCCGCGCGAACTTCACGGGATCCGACGGCGGTTATCCCATTCGCTTCTGCTCAAGACTTCAAGCCTTCGTTCCGGGCCCAAGAAGCAAAAAACGTCCTGGGGATGTATCCCCCTAGACATCACAGCCCTCTTTCCCGCCCCCGACTCTAATGATCGGAGGACTTCCAAGGAGGCCCCAACGGACTCCAGAGCACCCCTTACAAGGCCAAGGGGACCCCAGGGACTCCAAAATGGAGCGCAAAGCTGGGAACACCTTGGGCCAAGGACAACTTTAGCAGCCCCGAGATGACCATGCCATTTCGTAGAAGCGCCGGGAACGACCAATTCCATTCGGACCCGTTCAGTGACAAAAAAATCACAGGTTGGTGCTCAAACAATCGGCCAAGCAGGTAACTACCATGTGGACTTGGGTGGTCGCCTCCATCATCTTGTCGACGACAGCATCAACTCCGTCCTGCCCCCCAGCCATGGAACTTGCAAATTCTCACGCACTAGAAACAGAAACCTGCGAACTGAATGCGATGGGCACTAATACAACATGAACACATGTCTGCTGGTGAATGGGGTGGCTTGAAACGGAAAGCGGAGGGCGTCGGGCATACCACCATATGGTCGCATGCTCCAGCGATTCTCACGCAACGACTGTTTTCAGGGACTGGGCCCACAAGAAACTGGGAAGCTGCAAAGGCACGCAAGATGCAAAGGAAGCGCGGGATGCATGATCGGGTGATTCGCTGGTCGGTTCGCGCGCCGTCATGAATGGATCCTGCGGGTCTGTCCATTGCTTGAAGCTTGGAGCGCTCTGGCCGAGAAAGCTATGCAAGGAGGGACGGGGCAAGGAGAGAACAACACTTGTTCACACGCGCCTCAGGTGACCCCGATGGTTCTCGGACGCCAGCTCGTCCCTTCCCGCGCTCCCTACAAGCAGAATGCACACCAACCCAGGCGATGTTCGCCGCTGTGCGCACAAGCGTGGCCGTAAGGCCAAAATCGAGCGAAGGAGGGAGGCTCAAGAAGCAGGGCTATAGCGAGCGGGGAGGATGAGAGAGGAGCAGAATGGGAAATAGTGCCAGACAACATGAAACAGAAGCTTTCGGAGGTCCGCGCTGATCTCTTGGGTCGGCGCTGGACCCCCCTACCCCCGCACTCTTCCTGGCGCGCGGAGCGCTCGCAGGGTACGGCGCCGGAGTCGCCGCCTGGGAGTGCGGACCTCTGACAACTTCTGTTCCTGTGAACGACGAAAAGAAACGGGCCTTACGCGATGTGGCATAGCGACCTTATGCCGTGGCTTACAGGGGCCGCCAGCGCGACACGCCACAAGGGAAACGAGGGAACTTACGTGCCGCCTTACGCCCCAATGTCGGCGCAGGCGACCCCGCTTTCTTCCGTCGCCCAGGTGCTTGCTTAGAGGCCTCCCAGATGGTGTCCGAGTCGATGGGGTCGGAGGATCGCGCCGCATCGCCGATGCATCGACGATGGATAGATGATACTTCGGCGACGTCGGCGTCGAGAAGATCGGGCTCCGTATTGGAGCCGCATCCCCGATGCATCGCCGACGCGGCGCGATCGTTCAGCCCCATCTGCTCCGACCCCATCTGGGAGGCCTAGATTGCTTGGCATTCGAAACGACAGGCCTCGGAACAAATTAGCGAACACTCATGCCACATTCATCTGTCAACGCCTCCCTCCCCCCCCAATGTTCAAAGTTGGCGGCGGGTCTGATGACGCGCGCTTCGACCGCAGTCTTCCCCACGCGTGCCAACGTTGAGTTTGGGGGGGGAGGGGGGGGGTGTTCAGTCACGGTTTCCCCCTACCGTACGTGTCCTGAGGGGTGACGGGTCCTTGGGACTCTGGGGGCCCTCCGAAAGGGACGAGCTTTCCATCCTGGGTCGCTTCCGCGGAGGGCCCCGAGCGCCCGGAAACGGCGGAAAACCTCGGGACTCGCTGCCCTCAGGACCCGCCTCACCCTCGGCGAACTATACAGGACGGCGACCCCCAGAGGTCTCCACCCCTTCCCCATTCCCCAGAGGTATCCACCCATTCCCGAATCGTTCTCTGCGGGTCCCGAGGCCCCCAGAGAGGCCGATAACTGCGAAGAACCTCAGGACCCGTTTTCCTCAGGACCCGCTTCCCGCATGGCGAACTATACCGGACGGGGAGAGGCCACGGGGCGCGCGGCCAGACAGGCCTCAGCCCCGGCGCGCCGCATCGCCGATGCGGCACGATCCTCGGGTCCCACCTGCTCCGACCCCACCTGGGAGGCCCAGATGGCTTGGCCTTGAAACTACCCAGACTCCCGACGTCACGATTTTTTGCGACTTCGACCCCAGAAGTCTGGACCCATTCCGCGGGACGGGTTCTTCATCCCGAGTCGTTACTTGACGGTCCGGAGGCCCCGTAAGGGCCTCCAGATGCTGAAAATAGCGAACAATCTGCCGCCGTGATCTCTTCAGGACGCGAAGGGGATCTGGGAAGCCTAGATTGCTTAGCCTTCACCGAAAATGGCGAAAACCTCCTGCCGTGATTCTTTCGTGACGCGAGTGGGTCTGCGTACACAAACATCGGGCTGCTCCAATTTTCTTGATGCGTGGGCCCAAGGGCCGGTTTTTCGTCCTGAGTCGTTTTTTGATGCTCCCGAGACTCGGCGAGGGCCCCCGGAGGCCGAAGACGGCCAAAAACCGCCTGATCCCCAGACATCCGCCGATGCGACTTTTTCAATCCGCGGCCCCCCTTAATGCGAACAACGTAGTGTCAACAGCGTAGTGTTAATTCACCCTGCGTTACGTAGTGTCAACAGCGTAGTGCTAACTCACTGCTTGAACTTTCAGTTCACTGTCAGGAGGTACCGTAGATGGACAATATATTCGAACCCTCACACATTCGAGGGAGATTCTAAATCACCCCCGCGCCCCCGACATCAATGTTGATCTCAGCAAAGGCGGTGCTTTGGGGTTCGAATATTTCTGTCCACTCACGCCCCCCCCGTCGCCACGCCATCAATACTAAATTCGGGGGTTCGGGGGGGCATCCTGGGCCACAGGGTTCGAATACAATGTCCACGTACGGTACCTTGCGCGGCCCCAGACGTCCCGACCCCTTCCCCGGGAGGGCCTTCTCGTCCCGGATCCCTTTCCGAAGGGCCCCCGGGGCCCGAGAGCGGGCCCCGGGGGCCAAAGCTCAGGAAAAGCCGCCAGATTGACAAAACCAGCTCCTCGGATCTCTTCGAGTAGGGGATCGACTAAAACATCGAATTTCCCCCGAAATGGATTTCTCCACCGATTCTTCGAACATGCGTACCATGTTAGCATATATTTGTATATACACATACATACATACATGCATACATACATACATGCATGCATACATACATACATACATACATACCTACCTACCTACCTACCTACCTACCTACCTACATACATACATACATACATACATACATACATATATATGTATATATATGTATATATGCATGCATATATACATATATATACATATGTTTACACATGTGTACGCATGTGAGCACTATACGTATTTTGTTGTAGATTCGACGGTCACAACCATTTTGGGGTACATCAATTTTGTACTCGATCCGCTACTCGATCGCTAGAGGCCTCCGAAATGGGGTCCGAGTAGATGGGGTCAGAAGATTGCACTGGATCGCCGATGTATCGCCGATGCATCGGCGATACATCGGCGACGTCCGCGATGCATCGGCGACGTCCGCGTGAAGGACAGCGGGCTCCGCACCAGGCCGCATCGGCGATGCATCGGCGATGATGCGGCGCGACCCTCCGACCCCATCTACTTCGATCCTACCTGGGAGGCCAAGATACTCGATCTCTGGGTCTCTGGGTATACGGGACGGGGTGGAAGGAGGGACGCCGACCCCCAAAGGTCTGTACCCTTCCTGGGGACCGGTTTTTTACCTTGAGTCGTTTCCTGACGGCCCCAAGGCCCGGTGAGGGCCCCCAGAAGCCGAAAATGGCCCAAAACCTCCCGTCGCGATTTTTTCATTACCCGAGGGGGTCTGGGTCCGGGGGCCCGGGGTACCTTCACAAGTGGCCCCGCTGCTGATGCCAATCGCTGGTGGCTCCACGCGCCGCCGCGCTGCTCCCGGGCAGGCTCGGCTGCTCGGCGGAGAGGGGAGAGGAGGGGGCCCAGGGACACACAAATAAAGACACACTCATCCCAGGATCCCCGTATATTTTGCAATATTTTCAGGGTTTTCGTCTTCGTCCCCGCTGTGCGTACTTTCCCATATTTTCGTGGGAATCGACAACCTGACGGGGTCTGGGTCTCTGGGTACAGTGGAGGTCGGTCCACAAGAAGCCTTCCGCAAGAAACCCCAACCTTGAGGATCCAGGACGTCGTTTGACTCTTGGCGTGGGAGCGCCGCGCTCCCTCTCCACAGCAAACCATCGAGACCCGAGACACCCAGGGCACCCTGGAGGCAAGCAGGGTGGCTCTTGGCATGGGCCTCCACTGTATACGGGACGGGGAAGGAGGGACGCCGATCCCCAGAGGTCTCGACCCCTTCCCAGGGACCGGCTTCTCAGCCCGAGTCGTTCCCTGACGGCCCCGAGGCACGGTGAGGGCCCCCAAATGCCAAAAGAGCGCACACAAACCTCCCGTCGTGATTCTTGTCGCAACCCGCGGGGGTCTGGCCTGAAATTTGGCAGTCGATCCTCTACTCGATCTCTGGGTCTCTGAGTACCCAGAACCCTTTGGGCAATGACAAAAATCATGACGGGAGGTTTTTCGCTCTTCTCGGCCTCTGGGTGCCCTCACCGGGCCTCGGGCCCGGCAACAAACGACCCAGGAGGAAAAACTGGTCCCGGGGAATGGGTCGAGACCTCCAGGGGTCGACGCGATGAAAAAAACATGACGTCGGGGGTCTGGGAACTGAGCCTAAAGCCTGTTTTTTAGACTCAGGCAAGATTGCTTGCGTGGACGGGCTCTGGGTCCTGGGGCCCCGCGTAGCCTCACAAGTGGCCCTGCTGCTGATGCCCGTCGCTGGATCTCCTCTGGGCTTTCGTCTCCCCACCCCCCACTGCCCGTATGTTCCTATACTTTCCTGGGTATAAGGGACGGGGAAAGACCCAGACCCCCGACGTCATGATTTTCTCATTGCGTCGACCCCTGGAGGTTTCGACCCATTCCCCAGGACCGGATCCCGAGTCGTTTTTTTGACGGTCCTGAGGGCCGGTAAGGGCCCCCAGAGGCCGAAAATAGCAAAAGACCTGTCGTCTTACGTTGTTCCCATCCTACTTAAGGACCGCATCCCAGAAATAATTTCGAGCACCAAGAAAAGTATCAACAGAGTGTCGAAACAGTGTCGAAACAGTTTCGGGCGAGTGTCTCCCAGGGCCCGCCACGTGAAAACCCTTGAGCTTCGGTACTTTTTTGGGGCGCTCGGATATTCTTGCTGGTGCTCAAGGCTGAACAAAAATAGGTTGGAGCATCATAACTCTCGTCATGTTTTCTTCATTGCCCGAGGGGGCCTGGGGAGGACTCCCCATATTTTCCCACATGTTCTGGGTTTTTGTCTCCCCCCCCCCACTTCGCATATGTTCCAACATTTCCCTGGGCATCGGCGATTCATTGTGTCTGTGTGCTTCTTCCCCTCCTGAGCACTGTTGGCGCCCCTCCGAGCCTGGAGAGGGCGAGGCCACGGGTGGGGCGCGCGGCCCGCGCCCTATAGCGCGGCCCTCTGAAACTATGGGCCTCCGCCCCGGCGCGCCGCCGCGGCCCCGCCGGCGGCCAGGGGGCCGCCGCCCCTCGGCGTCCTGCAGTCTCGGAGGCGGCCGGGGGGGGGGGGGGGCGCCCCGCGGCGGTGGACGAGCCCCTTACCAGCCTCGAACGTAATGCGGGAGGACGATGAATAAAAACAATGGTTGAGAACTATGAAAGACATAGTTTCCTGCTATTTCTGCATAATTTTCTGACTGGCGGAGAACGATCAGAAAGAATAGTTTTCCAGCCCGCGGCCGGTTTTTTCTAATCGTCATCCCGGGCGCCGCCGCGTGAACACGACCCCCGGTCATTTCTTAATCGTCATCCTCCATTATCCCTATCCCTAAGATTGACACGCCAAAAGGCGATGGCAATCTTTCGGATCCGCCCTCAAAAAATACGGGAATCCCTAAGATTGGCATCGTGATGAGGAGGTGCCCAGCATGGGGATAGGGATATGTTCCAGGCTGGTAAACCCCTCCCTTTGGCAAACCACCCTTTGGTGAAAACGGCCCGGGGCCAAAATCGACGGGCCTGGGCCCGCAAAAGGACGGCGGCGGCGCCCTCTCGCGACCCGAGAACGGCCAATTCGCTAATCGCCGTGTCAGGGTAGGAGGTCTATCAACCTCCGAGCCCTAACTGAGACGAGCGCGCTCCACTACTCGCAAAGTAACTACTCGCAAATGGCATGGATCTGCCGCGGGGGATCTGCGATAGTTAAGTTGCGCACAGGCGGACGCATGGTTTTCTGGACGTTGCGAGTAGGCACTTTGCAAGTACTGGAACGCGCTCGGTGCTAATTGAGCCCAGTACCTGCTTTCCCAGACCCCTTCGGGCAAGGACAAAGTCATGACGGGAGGTTTTTCGCTCTGTTCGGCCTCTGGGGGCCCTCACCGGGCCTCGGGCCCGGCAACAAACGACTCAGGACAAAAAACCGGTCCTGGGGGAAGGGGTCGAGACTTGCAGGGGTCGGCGCGGTGAAAAAATCATGACGTCGGGGGTCTGGGAACTGAGCCTAAAGCCTGTTTTTTTAAACTCCGGCAAGACTGCTTGCGTGGGGGGGGGGGGGGGCGAACCTGAAGCAGGCCGCGGAGGACTTGCACGTGCGGGAAATCACGCAAGTCGAAAGGGTCTTGTGAGCGCTAGTATCCGTTTGAAGAGAAGGGCGAGGGTGGGAGGGTAGGGGGGGGGAGGGCCGCCATGCAAGTAAACTCGCCTGAATCTTATATATGTATACATGTATGTGTATCTATATATATAATATATGTATGTATGTATATATGTATATATATATAGAATGTATATATATATATCTATATATATATATATATAGAACGAAAAAAAAGGCTCCAAGAGATCCGAGGACCAGATTTTTCAATCCAGGGGTATTTCCTGGAAGTGGGCCTCTGGGGCCCCTTCTTGGGCCCGGAGGCCATCCACAACGGATCCATGGGACGAGCCGAGGATCTGATTCTTCCGATCCGGAGGCTGTTCCTGGACTTCGGCCTCCAGGGCCCGCCCTGATCCTCGGATACTGGAATTTCCAGTCGCGACCGACGAGAACGGTCGCTACCGATTTTGGTTCCAATTTCGGTATCGGTCGCGACCGATCGGTCGCGACCAATCGGTCGCGAATCGGTGGCGACCGGTCGCGACCGATTCGCGATCGGTCACGACCGATTTGGAGTGCCGATCGGTCGCAACCGAAAAAAATCGGTATCCCATGCTCTGGGCGTGATCGGGCCCGGGGACCATCCAAAAGGGATCTGGGTCGATGCGAGGATCTATATGGGTTTTTTTTTCAGTGCGGCGGCTTCTCCGGGACTGCGGCCTCCGGGGCCCCTCCTCGGGCCCGCGGGGGGGGCGAGAAACCACTCCCGGGGAAGGGGTCGTGACCTGCGGGGGGCGAAAAAAAAACACTCCCGCGGGGGGCGAAAAGACCCACTCCCGGGGGCGAAAAGACCTCTGGGGCCGCGGCTTGAAGACGTCATGTCGGCGGATGTCTGGGGGGTCTCGGAGGCGGCGGGGGGGGGCGGGCCCGACCTGGCTGCATGGGCCGCGAGACAATCGGCCAAGAGAACCCTCATCAGGTCTGGGCGTTGCTGTTTTTCCACGCCGGGCGTCTTCGTCTGGTTGTGGGCCCTGCAGGGAGCCCTTTGCCTGCCATCGCTCGGACGTCCATTCCCCGTGCATTTCTCGGTTTGGGGCAGGAGCGCGCCGTGACCTGGATGGCTTCAGGAACACGGGTGCGCCCACGGCGCGCCGGTGCCCAGGCAGGAGGTCGAGGCCCTGTTCAGGCGCCGGGGGAGGCGCGGGGGCCCTCAGAACCGGGCGCTGCCGTTCAGGGCGCGTGCGTCCGGCTCCGGGCCCTGGGACCCTCACAGATCGACGCGCCTCGAAAAGTGCCGCAGAAAGATGGGGTCCAGACATGATTTCTGTCTCTCTTGTTTCTTTTGCGATGTTGCATTTTTGTGGCAACGTCGGATCTAAGGGTTGGGGGGGGGCCAAAACCCACACCCCATCGAGTCATGAAAAAATCACGGCGGGAGGCTTTTCGTCATTTCTGGCCTCTGGGGGCCCCTGCAGGGCCTTGGGACCGTGGAAAGACGACTCGGGATGAGAAACTGGTCACAGGGAATGCGTCCAGACCTCTGGGGGGATCAGAAGGTAGCTAAGACAAAGCCAGGACGAGGATCCAATCGGGTGGTGATCAATCGAGAATCTCTGAGACCCGCTGGCTCTGGAGGAGGTCTCGGGCGCCGCGGCCTGCTCAGAGCGTTCTGGAACGCTCAGTGTTCTGGAAAGCTCTGGAACGGACTTATCCTCGTCCCGGCCCCGTCTGACAAGAAGAATATGAGGGCAACTCCCTTCAAAACCAATTCCTGGGGTCCATCTGGTGCAAATTTGGCACCCCAGATCCAACAATTTGACGACCCAGGGGCCATATGGAGACAGAACAAAAACAAAGAGCCTTCCCGAACCCAGAACCTCGAACCTGCCCACCCTTTCTGCTGGCCAGAACCAGTGCTGAGCCACCTCAGACCCCCAGCCGACTTCAACACGAACACAGACCCCAGGCGTCATGATTTTTTCTTCAAAACGTCGACCCCCAGTGGTCTGGACCCCCTCCTGGGGACCGGTGTTTTGAGTCGTTTTGACGGCCCCGAGGCCCGGTGAGGGCCCCCAGACGCCGAAAATAACGAGAAACCTGCTGCCATGATTTCTTCGCAACGCGAGGAGGTCTGGGGCTGAGCCACCTCAGACCCCCAGCCGACTCCAACACGAAGGTCCTGTCCAGGCCCAGCTCCCGCCGCGCCAGCCGGCACTGCGCCGAGAACTTGCTGGCGGCGTGCGGCCGCGGCGGGCCCGGCGCCTTGGGCGGCTGCCTTGCCACCGAGCTGTCCTGCAGGCCCCTGTTAGAGAACAGAAAATCCACCCCGATGGTAATTACCCCGACACGCGAAGCCGTTCAGTAAACGCACCCAAAGAAGCAATCGAACAGGGCAGGGCTGTTTAATTAACGCCCAAGGCCGTTTAGAAAACGACAATTATCGGGTCCCGGTGTTTTTTCCTCCCTTGACCTGTGGGGGTAGCTGCGCCCGGACGTGACGGCCGCCGAGCTGCTGCCCGCAGCGACGCGGGCGGCGCGCTCGTCCTCGGTGGGGTGGTTGATGCCCGCGCCGCTGTTGGAGGAAGAATTCAGTGGCATAAGCATAAACTTTTTCGGCGCTCCGCGCGGAGCTCTCGGATCTGCGCTGGACGCCCCCTCACTGGCGCGCGGAGCGCGCCAGGGCGCCGCCGGCGGGGGGCCCAGCGCCGATCGAAGACATCCGCGCGGAGCGCCAACAATTTCTGCTGACGGCGCTTTTTCCTCTTCCGGGCTGTGCCTCAGCCGCCAGATCGACAGCCCGTCCTCCTGCAGGATGCCGCGGCACGTGTCGCGCCAGTCCAGCCCTGCCCGCGCCGCGAGCTGCTGCCCCGGCGGCGGCTGGCCCGCCGCGGGCTGCCTCGCCGCACCGCTGCCGGGCGCCGCGGCGCCGATTGCGACGCCGGCTGCGCCTCGAGGCGTGAGGGTCATCGCCATCGGCGGACCCGCCTGGGGGGAGGGAACCCAGACCCCCTCGGGTCATGAGCAAAATCATGGCGGGAGGTTTTTCGCTATTTTGGGCCTCCGGGGGCCCTCGCCAGGCCCCGGGACCGTCAAGAAACGACTCAACATGAAAAACTGGTCCCGGGGAATGGGTCGAGACCTCTGGGGGTGGACGTTCTGAAAAAATCATGACGTCGGGGGTCTGGGGGAGAAGCAGCCGGGCATACTCTCGTCGGCCAAGGGGCCCAGGAATCGGGGGCCGAGGTTCCTGAGCAGTTTCGTCGGTGCTCGGCGGCTTGCCAGCCTCGGCATGCTGCCCCGCAGCTGCGCCTCGTCGAGGGCGTTAGTTCAGGAGGTGCCCAGGCCGTCTCGAACGCCGCCGGAGAGAGACGAATTCTGGCCCGAAAAACTCAAACACGCTCGCGTCGTTAAAAAGAATAGCGGCGCGAGGTTTCTGGCCGCCTTCGACCCCTGCAGGGCCGTCACGCGGCCGCTGGAGCTGTCGAAAAGAACTCGGAATGAGAAACCGTTCCTGTAAGGGGAGGGTCGGGACCTCCGGGGACACAGCACCGAACAAACTCGGGACATCGCATGTCTGGGAGCGCACGTGTGGCCGTGATGCCGCTCCGCGTGCACTGCCAGGCTGCCTCAGCACAGGCTGGCCGCACCTGCCCCTCCTGACGGAGGTCCTCTTGCAGTGCGCGCCCTCCCTCTTCCCTTCTGGCTCCCGCGGCCGCTCTCCTCCCCCTCCTCCCCTCCCCTTGCCGCCGCACAACCGTTCCGCCTGCTCCCGGCCAACTCGAGCGCGCGTGTGGATCGCCTCTGCCGCGCTGCGAGGACAAAACAAGCCTGGGAGCGCACTGACTACCTGCCAGACCACCCCAACCCAACCCGAAGACCCGAATTTGACCCGAATTTCGGGCTGGGGGGGGGGGTACGGGTTCCATGTGTTTTTGCCATGTTCCCCGACCCCCCCACTACTGGAAATATGGAGAGCAAACTTAATGCTTCGGGCTGGGTTGGGGTGGCTTGGTGGGTGGTGGCGAACGCCACCGCCGCCAGGCCCCCGCTGCGGGGAGGGCATCTACCGCCTGGGCGCTGAACTATCAGGAGCGCCAGATGAGGAACGAGACCCCTCAATGGCCCGAAGAGGCGCCTCCGTGCCCGAGGAGGGCAAGGAGGAGCAGCAGTGGAGGAGCCCGAGGAGCGTCGAGCCCCCTTTCCGAACCCCAGTTGTGTCTTATCCCAGCGCCCCCTGCTGCATCCATCACCACCGTCGGGGGGCCATCGATCCTCGGGGACCTGCAGGCGGCCCCAACTGCTGCCTCCGTTCTTTTTTTTGGGGGGGGAAAGTGGACGGTGGAGCGCGGAGGGGAGTGACACGGCCAGCACATGGAATCCACCCGCCCTGCCACCGAAAACCTGCACCAGTCGGCGGCGCGCAGAGGGGAGCTGGGGGAGGGGGGGAGGCTTCTTGGGATGAGGCTGCTTCTTAGAAGGCGCCGGCCCTACATCTACGGAGAAGGCCCGCGCCTTCTAAGAGGCAGGGGTATTTCCAAGAAGCCTCCCCCGCTCCCCCTACCTAACTACCCCCCTCTCCGCGTGGTCGAACCAGAGCCAGAGCAAGTAGGAGGAAAGGAGAAGATGAGGAAGAGGAGGAGGAGGAGGAGGAGGAGGAGGAGGAGGAGGAGGAGGAGGAGGAGGAGGAGAAACGAAGAGAAGGACAAGGAGGGGGAGAGTGGGCAACGAGGTTACCCAAATCGGCAGCCCCGCGCACCACGTGCTTCAAACCTGGGCTGCGGCCAGAGGTAAAAGAGCACTGGCAGCGATTGGAGGGGGAGGCGAGGAGCGGCAGAAGAGCGGGCGGTTACTCGACGCGAAAATTGGCAGCACTGCGCACTTCTGGGCTGCGCGGAGCTCCGTGATCCAACACGAAAGCCAGAGCAAGCAAGAGACCCGAGAGATCGGAGGGAGAAGGAGGAGGAGCCCAGCGTGCAAGGGGAGAAGGAGGCGGAGGGGGAGGCGAGGAGCGGCAGAAGTGCGGGCGGTTACTCGACGCGAGAATTGGCAGCACTGCGCACTTCCGGGCTGCGCGGAGCTCCGTGATCCAACAAGAAAGCTGGAGCAAGCAAGGGACCCGAGAGATCGGAGGGAGGAGGAGGAGGAGCCCAGCGTGCAAGGGGAGAAGGACGAGGAGGGGAAGGAGGAGGAGGACCAGGAGGAGGAGGAGGAGGAGGAGGAGGAGACGAAGACGAGGACGAGAAGTACAAAATACCGCCCGCACAGCCGGTGTGGACATCGCGAGGCGGCAGCCGCCGGCGAGCCGGTGCCAGGTCGGCGCGGCACGATCGAAGCTGAATGCAGGCGCGCAAGGATGCTGCGCTCCACGTCCGACCCCAGGGCCCGAATCCCTCCACATCCATCGACAGCCGAGGCCCCAGAAGACCGCTCCCTCGGGCGGTGGCCATTCAGGGCGACGAGGTCCAGTGCGCATGTCCGCTGCTCCCTGGCCAGGCACCTCCTCAACCCACGGCAGCTGAGCCATGTGCCCTCCTGGCCAAGTCAGGAGGGCGCGGCGTACACACCGCTGGCGGGCCCAAGGAGGGGCGTGGCCAGGGAGCAGCGCATCTTTATAACTCTCGTGGCCCTGCGATGGTCGGGCTGGGCGAAAGGGGGGGATAGCAAAGGGGGGTTTGAGAATCATCTCACGTAGCTGATTTTCCCAGCGCCTCCCGGCGCCAGAGGCGGCCATGCATCGAGGAATGGGCCCCTCGGGGCCGAAACCAGCTGCATGCAGCAGATTTTGTACCCCCCCTTTCCCTATTCCCTATCCCCCCCCTTTCGTCCGGCCTGCGATGGGCACGTCACGTCCCCGCAAGAAGAAGGGCCGTCTCACCAGAGGAGGCCCGGCCCGGGCCGGGTCCCGCGGAGCCCTGGCGTCGGACCCGCCGCACTCATGGGCGAGTTCGTGAATAGTGCTCGGCCGGGCATGTCCTCCGACAGGCGGGTTTTGGGAGAACATGGCCGAGAAATCATCAAGCATAGTCAAAGCATCGTCCCCAGACTATTGTTCTACTATTCTTGAATATTCCTCCTGTAGAGGGACATACCCGACTGAAAACATAGGGCGGAGATGTCACCCCCTACTCTTCGAGCACCTCAAATGTGGATTTCCGCCCCACTTTGCCGTCGCCGCTTCCGTCATTCTTTTGCGAAGATGTCATGGAACATCCGTCCTGCTTTCCTGATGCGGGAATTTGCGCTCTACGTGTTTGCATCGTTTGGGGCGCATTCCCGACAAACGTTCAAGTTGGATGCAGCTGGACCGAATACAGAAGAACATCCTTCAAGAGCTCGAGACCCTCCGCCGGCCAAAATACCAAAAAACATAAGATAACCGAGGGTATCCTTCTCTAGGATGCATAAGAACATCCAACAAGCACGAAAAACATTAGGGTACCCTCCCCGAGCCGACCTCGATGTTATACTTCGGTCCGACCGTAATCAGCCAAAATGCGGCGGACCCAACGTCAGGGAAGTGCCCGGGGCGGCGGTGGTGACCCCGCGGGGCCTTCGACGCCCTGCGCTCTTGCCTAAGCACGGGGCGCACGACGCTTTCGGGAGAGCTTCGGGTTTTCGGCGGCTTCTTGGGGCGCCTTGGAGGCATCCTGGCTTGTCTGGAGGCTGTCTTGGGCGTCTTGGGTCGCTATTTTGGTGAGCGGCGGCCGTTCTGGGCCCCTCCGGGACGGCTCCTCCAGGAGGCCCCGGGGCGCCCATGGCGACGCGGGGCAGGCGGGGCCCAGGACGAAGATGAATCCGTTCCAGAGCCTTCCGGAGCATCCTCAGGGCGTTCTGGCACGTTCTGAGAAGGCCGCGGCGCCCGAGGTATTCTCCAGAGCCGCCACATCCTGGAGATATTCTCGATCTGCCTCACCCGAATTTGCATCTGTCCTCCAGAGCCGCCACATCTCGAAGATATTTTCGATCTGTCCTCACCCGAACCTGTATCTGTCATCCAGAGCCGCCGCATCTCGGAGATATTCTCGATCTGTCCTCACCCGAACCTGTATCTGTCCTCCAGAGCCGCCACATCTCGGAGATATTCGGTGGGAAAAATATTCGGTGTTTTGTTGTTTTGTGTTTGTTTTGAGTTGTTTGTGGTGTTTATTTGTGTTGTTTGTTTTTTGTTGTGTTTGTGTTTGTTTGCTTTGTTGTTGTTTCCCCCCGTGTGTGTGTGTGTGTGTGTCTGTTTTTCCCACAGATCTGTCCTCACCCGAATCTGTATCTTCGTCCTGGCTTCGACTTAGAGCTCTGGGCTCCCTGGGGCCGCCGGCAGCTCGCCCGGGAGGCCCCGCGGCCCGCGGGCCGTGCGCTCCTGCGCGTCAAGGGCGGGAGGAGGCGGGCCTGCGTCGCGTCAGAAGTAGAAGAAGAAATAATATTAATAATAATAAGAAACATAATAATAGTATGAATCGTAGTAATAATAACAATAATAATACTCGTAGTAGCAGTAATACTAATAATGAGCATACCAAGAAAAATAAGAATACTCAGAATAATCATAAATATGAGACTACTACGACCTCTACTACTACTACTACTACTACTACTACTACTACTACTACTACTACTACTACTACTACTAGTACTACTACTACTACTACTACTACTACTACTACTACTACTACTACTACTACTACTACTACTACTACTACTACTACTACTACTACTACTACTACTACTACTACTACTACTACTACTACTACTACTACTACTACTACTACTACTACTACTACTACTACTACTACTACTACTACTACTACTACTACTACTACTACTACTACGAATAATAACAATAATAATAATGATAATAATAATATGAATAACAATACTATTAATACACATAACAACAGTTTAAACAGTTAGCGGCAGAGACATAAAATGTTGACGCTCCGCGCGGCATTCTAGGATGCGCGCTGGACCCCCCTCGACCTGGTGCGCGGAGCGCGCCAGGGGCGGGGCCGGGGGCGCCGCCAGGGGGGCCCAGCGCGGATCGAAGCAATCCGCGCGGAGCGCCAACAGTTAATGTTTATGCCCTTGTTTCTTCCTTCATCGCCGAGCGCGTTCCACTACTCGCAAAGTGCTACTCGCCAACGTCCGAAACACACGTCTGCTTTGATGTAATTCATCGTAGATCCCCCGCGGGGGATCCATGCAATTTGCGAGTAGTTACTTTGCGAGTCGTGGAACGCGCTCGTCGAATTCAGGGAGGCCTTGGCCTGCGCCAGGGGGCTGTTGACACGACCCGCCGCCCTTGCCGGAGAAGAGCCACGGCCCGCCCGGCCGACCTGCACCCACCCACCCGGGGTGGGGGGGCGGGTGCCGCCTCGCCCTCGGGCTTCGTGGCACCCGTCCCCACCCGGGAGGGGGTGCAGCTGGCACGAGGACTGAGAGCAAGACTCGTTTTGGAGTGGTGCCCCCCCTTTGTGCTGCGCCGTGGGGCTCTCCACCTCGGCATGTTCTTCGTCTTGGGGGATCTCAGTTGACGAACGAACAACACGCACCCATACCCATTGGTGGGACGGAGGGGGCTATGGGTGCGTGTTGTCGGATGGGGGTCCCCGCTCGAAAGGAAGCACCCCCCAGGATGCGACAACCCGCACCCATATCCATAGCCAGTCCTCCTCCCAACATTCCCCCTATGGGTATGGGTGTGTGTTGCTCGTTCGTCATCAGTGGGGCCTTGGGCTCTCGGCGAAGGGACCCGCGTTCTTGAGCCACGTTCTTGTGACCATGTCTCGGCTGTACGCTGGGAGGCGGGAGCCACACGTGCACGCACACACACACACACAGTTATGAGGGCCTTCGCCTGGAACATCGTGCAAGCCCCCAGAACTCCCAAGACGTCCAAGACCTCCTCGATCCTCCTCCTCCTCCTCCTGCTCCTCCTCCGCCTCCTCCATCATCGCTTGCCTATTTCAAGCTCAATCAACGTCGCATCAGGAAATCGTGTCGAATCGGAATCTGCGTCGGATCGGCCTGCATCGGCACGGAGTCGAAGTCGACTCGGATCGGCTGCGGCAGGATACACAACAAAGCCATGCAAGCATCGGGCAACATCAGATCACCACCAAACTATCGTGACCGAATCGGGTCGGGCCAGCCGGGATCGAATCGGACCGCTCGGATCGAAATCGACCCTGCCCTAATGGAACTGCCTGAGAAACCTGGGAGACGTGCGGTGCTTTGGCCGCGAGGAAGAAGCAATTTCACAAAAGTAAGCTTTCGGAGGTCCGCGCAGATTTTATGAAACCTTGGAGGCGTGCGGTGCTTTCCGCCTCCCGGCCGCGAAGAAGAAGAAGCAATGCCACATACGTAAACTTTCGGAGGTCCGCGCAAATTTCTTGAAACCTGGGAGGCGTGCGGTGCTTTCCGCCTCCCGGCCGCGAGGAAGAAGCAATTTCATAAACATACCGTAGGGGCCCGACCACAAGAAACTTCTACATCAAACCTAGCCATGAGACCCCAGGACGTCCCTTGATTTCTGGTGTGGGAACGTCACGCTTTCCATCGCAAAACTACCGAAACCGAAGAAACTCAGGGCACCCTGGAGGCAAGCAGGGTGTTTCTTGGCATGGCCTCCACTATAAGCTTTCGGAGGTCCGCGCGGATTTCTGGGATCCTCGCTGGACCCCCCTCCCTGGCGCGCAGAGCGAACCAGGAGCGGCGCCGCAGGCGCCGCCAGGGGGGCCACAACGCCGATGCAAGAAATCCGAGAACTTATGTTTCTGCCGCCTGTCCACGCATCCGCGCGCTGTCCATGTCCAAGAGGACGAGGGGGCGACCGAGGAAGACGTGGTGCTCTGAGATTCGTGCGCACGCTGCCCGGGGCAGCAGGGGGCGAGGAGGCCCTTGCGCACCTGTGGCAAGAGCCAGTGCAGACCATCGCAGCCTGGCACGCGACCGGCACGCGGTATTGCGATGTCCTCGGAGACTGGTTTTCGTGCTCATGTGCGTTGTTGCGCTCATTGTTTGTTGTTTTGTTGCTTTTTTTTTGTCTCTCTCTCTCTCTCTCTATCTCTCTCCCTCTCTCTCTCTCCCTCTCTCTCTCCCTCTCTCTCTCTCTCTCCCCAGGCCCCGACGTCATGATTTCTTCATGACGTCGACCCCCCAAAGGTCTGGACCTGTCCCCCAGGACCGGCTTTTCATCCTGAATCGTTTTTGACGGCCCCGAAGGAGGGAGGAGGGAGGAGAGAGGGCGGAGGAGGAGGAGGAGGAGGAGGAGGAGGAGGAGGAGGAGGAGGAGGAGGAGGAGGAGGAGGGGCAATTAGGGGCCCCCAGAGACTCAAATCGGCAAGGACCCCCCGCCGTGCTTTTTTCGCGGCGCGAGGGGGTCTGGGCCTCTCTCGTCTGTTGTCTTTCGGGTGGGGGGGGCTTTCCGTCCCCTGGCCGCCGCGTTGGGCAGCAGCCCCTCCCGCCGCGCCTCGCTCGGCAGCCGCATGGCGGCCGCCCTGCCCGGCAGCGGCGGCGCCGATGGGGCGATCGGGGGGGGGCGGTCCGCCCTCTCGGAGCCACGCGCCGCGCGCGCAGGACGAGCTGCAGCGCCTGCGTGGTTGTGCTTTCCCCAGACATGCTCGCGTCGTATGAAAAAAATCCGGGCGGGGGGTGCTTTCGCTACTTTCGGCATCGGGGGGCCCTCGCAGGGCCCCGGGGCCGTCAAAAAATGACTCGGGACGAAAAGCCGGTCCTGGGGAAAGGGTCGGGGCTTCCAGGGACGCCGTCCTGAACAAATCAGGACGTCGCATGTCTGGGTCCAGGGCAAGGAGAGCTCTTGCTTGCGTGCGTCGAGGTCGTCGCTCGTGCCGTGGTCTTCGCCCCCTCCCTCCCCCGCTGCTTCTCCCCCTTACTAAGCGAACGCGACAAGGTGCTTTGCCTCGCAGCGCCAGTCCCCTGATCTCTGGGCCAGTCTCTTTCAGGGCCCCGTCCCAGGAGACCCGCTCGCAGGGTGTAGGGGCTTCGTGCCGTAGCTCCGCTGGCGCGCGCGGAGTGCGCCGCAACGCGCTCGAGAGCTTATGATGAGCATAAGCCACGCTCACCTGAATAGGATTTCCGTCTCGCTCCGCTCCATCGCCCGCGCTCCCCAGATATCAGACCTCTCTCTCTCTATCTCTCTCTCCCCCATGGGATCCGACGCTGCGAACAAATTGCAGCCTCTCGAAAGACCCCGACAGGAGCCCTTGACCGCAGCTTCTGGCGGCATTTTTCGAGCCGGATCGATCTATGACGACCCCAGGGCCCGAAACTGGGCGCAGGCGCCTGTGGCGAAACCGCTGCGACGCCAAGAAGCCCGGACCCCTGCCCGGGAACCGGCTTTTCGTTCCGAGTCGCTGCTTGACCGTCCCGAGGCCAGGCGGGGCCCCTGGAGGTCGAGAGTAACGAAGAACCTCCCGTCGCGATTTTTTGCTGTGTTTTGCAGCGCCAGGGGGTCCATCACTCCTGAAGCATCACTGCAGTAGACCTCCTCCTCCTCCTCCTCCTCCTCCTCCTCCTCGCCCTCCTCCTCGTCCTCCTCCTCGCCCTCCTCCTCCACGTGGCCCCGTGCCGTCCGGGGCGCCCCGCGGCCCGCGCGGGGCCCGCGACCGGCCCGAGGGAGGCCTCGCACAAGGGGGGCGGCCCGCGATCGTCCCGGGGGGTGGGCCCCGGGAGGCCCCGGATCGGATCGGATGCTCCGCCGCCCCTCGGGGGGCGAGCGCGCCCCGCGCTCGGCGCTCGCTCGTGCGAGTGATCACCGTTGGGCTGCTTTCCGGATGCAGTCCCCGCCATGCAACCTCCCCCTCCTCTCTTCCCATCCTCCTCCTCCTCGTCGTCGTCGTCCTCTTCCTCTTCCTCCTTCTCGTCCTCGTCCTCGTCCTCCTCCTCCTTCTCCTCGTCCTCGTCCTCGTCCTCCTCCTCTTCCGTCCTCGTCCTCCGTCCTCGTCCTCCTCCTCGTCGTCGTCCTCCTCCTCCGTCCTCCTCCTCCTCCTCTCCTCCTCCTCCTCCTCCTCCTCCTCCCGCTTGCTCCTCCTCCTCCTCCTCCTCCTCCTCCTCCCCCTCTTCCTCCGTCCTCCTCCGTCCTCGTCCTCCTCGTCCTCCTCGTCTTCCTCGTCCTCCTCGTCCTCCTCGTCGTCGTCGTCGTCCTCCTCCTCCTCCTCCTCCTCCTCCTCCTCTTCCTCCTCCTCCTCCCGGGGGGCGCCACGTGGGGGGGAGGTGAGGGCAAGAGGCGCCTTCTGCGCCCTCAATGGGGCCCCAAGAGTGGGCCCCTGGGAGCCCCAAAAGGGCACGAAGGGTGCACGTTTCCCCCAATCACGCCCAGGTGCATCATCTGCTGTTCTGCTCCGGATGGCTCCGAGATGAACCCCAATCGTTTTTTTTTTAAGTCCACCGCGAGGCCTTCCAGCGAATCACCCGGCGCTTCGCGGCTCACGCGCTAAGCCTGCCCCACAATCCACCCGGCGCCTCGCGGCCCACCCCGTCGCGGGAGGGTGGGTTTTCTCTTGGCGCAGGTGGCAGCAGCCTGCGCCTTCGGACAAGAAGGCGCTGTGATGTGTCCCGAACGTCGGGCCATCAAAGAAGGGCAAAAGAAGAACCTTGGCGCCAGGACTGCAAAATCACCCGGAAACAGGCAGGCGCTGCGGTGTAGCTGACAGACGGCCCTGGCCAACGGATTGTATACATTTTTCCACGTACGCATACATACATACATATATATCTATATCTATATATATACACATATACAAACATATAAACATGTATGTATATGTATATGTATGCATATGTATATATATATATGTACACACCTATACATACACACATACATGTGTCTTTATCTATAAATGTACGAATATATATATATATATATATATATATATATATATATATATTTAAAGAGAGAGAGAGAGAGAGAGAGAGAGAGAGAGAGAGAGATGTATGACAGACTGCATTGGCGCTTCGCGCCATGCGCCTTGTTCTGGACGCTTCCCCGGCAAAGCAATACATCATCGCTTGCTTCAGCAGGGGGACCTCGAGGCCTGGACGGGCGACCAGCTCATTTTTCTGATACCCCTGGTGCCTGCTGGCACCGCGTTCGCCCGATGCGCTTGCACGCTTGTGCGCTAGAGTGGGCAAGGAACGATTCCCATGGCACGCGGAAGAAGTCGCAGTAGCTCCGAACAAATCGACGTTCGGTCGCTTCCTGAATGCCTGAATGGCTCCAACCACTCAGGACTTCTTCGATCGTCGAACTTCGAATCTAGATCCATTGCCTGTCCTCTCTCGATCGAGGAATTTAGACCTCGGGTTCAAGCGCGGAACCAAACTCGTCGGGTCAGCTCGACGTACTTCGTGGGAAAACGCCGTCTGGGTGTTTGGGGGGCTCTTTTGGGCCGTCCTTGGGCCTTGTTGGGCCGTCCTGGGGAGCTGGGGCCCTCCAGAAGTCTTCTGAAGCCATCTAAGGAATCTAGGACCCTCTTGGGGGCCTCTAGTGGCCTTCTTGGGGGTCTCCCGTGGCTTTCGTGGATCTCTCTTGGGGGCCTTCTGGGGGCATCTGGAGCTTGTTGTGGGCAGTCTCGGAGATCTCTGGGGCAGTCTGGGGGCCCTCTTGGGCCGTCTTCAAAACCCTCTGGGGGGCCTCTTGGGCCGTCTTGGGGCGATATCGGGGGCCCATCGGGCCGTCTTGGACGCTGCGAAGACCCAAAAGCGGATATGCTAAACATTCACATTCTCGTAAGGGAATGAAGCGAATTTTGCTTTTTCGGGGCTATCTTAACGGCCTCTCGTGGCGTCATTAGGTGCCTCTTGGGCCGTCTTTCGACCATCGAGGTTCCTTTTGGAGCGCTCTTGTGCTGTCTTGGGTCTCTCTTGCGCCTCTCCGATGATCCCTCGCTCGCAAGGCCCGGCAAGGCGCCCTGGGAGGCCCGGAAGGGCCAGCGGACCTTTTCCAAGGGCGTCCGGGGCGTCCCTGGGGGGCGCGGGACTGGTTTAGGGGTTGGAGGGTGGGGGGGAGGTTCTGGGTAATCAAGATATAGGAATCGGAATGTATCTACATATGCAGGACTGCATTGGCGCTTCGCGCCATGCACCTTGGTCCTTGAAATTTGGTATGCAGGCGGAATGGCAGGAAGGCCGAGCCGACAATTTAGCGATAACATCTTGTTGCCTTCTCCGTCATCGCCGTTATGATAATGGTATTCGTTATCCTTCCTCCATGTTTCTTGTTCCAAGCTCTTGACATACCCTGCGTACTCTCCCCATCCTCCTCAGCTCTTTTTGCGGAGGCTCCTCCTTGGCGAGCCTCTGGGGGCCTCACATCAATTTTCTGGTTTTCTTAAGGCCTTCTGGTGGCCTCCTGAGCGTCTACTGGGGGCCTCTGGGGGCTTCCTCGGGCCACTCTGCCTCCAACCGCGGTCTCCCTGAACGACCGGGTCACGATTTGGAATGCTTGCGAGGGCGTTTTGGGGCCATCTTGGGGCGTCATAGGGCTCCCTTAGGCCATCCTGAAACCCTGTCGTGCCGTCTTGGGGCTCTCTTGGACTGCCTGGAAGCCCTTTCGGATGGTTGCAGCCGCCGCCCGTGGGCGCCTCAATTGCGCAGGCCTTGGGCGCCCCATGATTTGTTGTTTTTTCCTCCTCTGGAGCTCTGCTCCGCCGCGGGCGCAGCCGCGGCGGCCTGCACAAAAAAACGCCCCCCCCGGGGGGGGGGGGAGCTCTGTCACACGGCGCGCGGGCCTATGTGCCGCCGCGAGACGCCGCCGCCCGCGGCCTCACTTGCCCTTGAAGACGATGTTCGGGAGCACGAAGACGGCGGAGAAGACGGCGAGGAAGACGATCACGTAGGGCAGGCCCGGCGGCGAGTCCGCGGCGAGGGCGGGCTGCGAGGTGAACGCCGGGAGCGCGAGGCCCGCGGCGGCGGCGGCCGCCGCGGCGCCGGGGGGCGCCGCGGCTGCCTCCGCGACGCCGCGGGCGGCGGGCACGAAGGCCGCGCCGCAGCCGAGCCAGGCGGCGCCGAGGAGCGCGGCCAGCGCGAGGCAGCTCAGGACCGGGCGGCGGCTGGCGGGCATCCTGCCAGACTCGACTCCGCGTGGGGCCCGTGCGAAAGAGAAGCAGGGCGAGTCTGCGCGCGCTGCCCTGAGCCAAAGTGGCTACGGCCCTGGGCGCCCCATGATGGGCCCATTTTCCATCACCACTACCATAGGTAGGAGAGGGAGGAGGAGGAGGAGGAGGAGGAGGAGGAGGAGGAGGAGGAGGAGGAGGAGGAGGAGGAGGAGGAGGAGGAGGACCAGTGGAAATCCAAGAGTCATCAAAGATGTTGGACTGAACCATCCCTCCAAGCTCCCTCTTCATAGGCCCCTACAACGGTTCGCTTCCACTGGGGGAACTGCCTCGTTCGAAGTCGACCCTCTGAAGACCCTGAAGCATGATAAAAAAATGTTCTCGGGGTTCCAACGCCACGGTTCGACCTGAATGTTGCGTCTTGACGATCTTGAACCGCGTCAGAACACCATTCCTGGGATTCCAACACTGCGAATCAGCGTAACTGTTGCGCCTTCATAATCCTGAACCCTTCCAAAACACCATTTCTGGTTCGCTGATCATGGAAATCCGGGAAACTTTTTCAATTTTACAAAGCATCCGCGCGGCGCTAAGGCGAAAGCCACATTTTGAAAAGGACTCGCCTACAATTTGCGAAACTCTTGCAATGTTCACAGCGCGTGCGCGGGGCGCTAAGGCGAGAGCCACATTTTGAAAACCACCCGCCGTCAACTGTTGCAAATTTGTAAAACGAATCCACTTGCCCTTAATCCGTGAAACGAATGTCAATGTTTAAGCGTCAGGGTCATCAAGGATGAGGAAATCTCAAGCGAAACGCCCGGCGCGCCCTAAAAACTGGCCTCGGGGTGCGACAGGGAGAAGTCATAAGGAGCGGAGGAGGACCTCCTCATCCTCCCCTTCCCCCCGTCCTACCTACGGTAGTGGTGGTGGGAAATTCGCCCATCACCCCCAAGTCTTCGCACGATCGCGCCGCCGCCGCGGCGGCCTTCCTCGGCCTGCGGAGGCAGTCGGCGTGGCCAGGCGGTCCGAAGCTCTCGGTGGC